AAATCGACGGTCAAGCAGTCACTGTAGTTCGTGCTGCCAACAGCAAAGAGAGCACGCGTACAGTGAAGTACCAGCAGTGGACCCAAATCCCCAACATATAAATTCTCCCTCCCTTCCTGAGGTTGGGCTGGGACTCGTTTGACATCTGGCAGCCAAAGACTGGCACAAACATACTACTCGTTTGATTTCAATAGAGTTTTTATTTACACTAAAGATTACCAGACGAATATGTCATAATAGAGGTACTAGATGTCATGCTAGATGTACAGTGAACTTTTTGTACGCTGCCATTCCGCAAACGCCTCACCTCAACTATTCATGTTTCCAAAGCATTTTATGCACTTTTGCACAACAAAAGCGATCTGTAACATTTTTTGCATATTTCACAACAATTTATGCATTCCTGTACCGTTTCAGTGGAGTTTTTAAGGGCTTCGGTCATTTACTCCAAATATACTGACTGGTACTGACTGACTGAAATTTCCTACTGACTATTATTCTGACTAGAGTTTTAACTGTCTGCTGTTCTCTGTTTTCAGCTTTATTCGACTGGCTGACTACTTGATAATGAGCACCCTACATGTGCTGACTTTCAACTCCATCTACGCCCTTAATAAGGTCTTCACGGAAGAGCTTTCACGCATTCCCGACATGGCTGAAATTGATGCCCTCAAAATTGAAGTGAAACTCAGACTGCATCCCGAGGAGGAGCCGAGTGAAGATGAGGATGCCATTATGATGCCAAAACAGGCCAACAAAAATGCTGCCGCAATGGTAGGTCAATGTCGCCTCAAAACATGTTTGCGATGAAGTCTGTTGATTCTAGCTTTAATGAGAGACCTGTAGCGGAAACTTTGTATATAATAGCGGGTTTCGTTTCCGCTTCTCTAAAAATCCCCCATTCATAACGGCGGATTGACCGTCCATGGCGTGGCGGGCACAGGATGGTGGTTTGCGAGTCAGCTAGTTGGTAACAAACTTGTGCAAAATTTGCCTCATTCTCCTCTCCTGCACCCCTCTTGACAGATTTGGACACCTGGAGGCGGACCCGACGATCGCGTCTCTTTCTTCTGAAATAGGACTCCCAAAAAACATTATTATTGGGAAGCATAAATAAGATGGATGAATATAAATTGAATAGGTTGTGTTCGGACATAACCCAATCGTGGTCATTGTGTTTTACTTAAACCAACCGCAGTTTTCTGTTCAATAGAACATTCGAGTGTCTAGTTTCCAAACAACGTATGTGGTTTTCTCAGCACTGTGTTTTCTTACAACCTCAGGAACGGCTAAAATTGCGAGATCTATGACTGACAACTGATTATTTTAGGAACCCCCGGGTGAACCTGGAGCACAAGCTGCGGCCGAGGTCCCAGCCGAATTACCACCTCTATTCCTCATCGAATTAGTTCTTCAGAACAGCAACTTGGTCTCCATCCCCGATCAGGGACAGTTTGCCAAT